CGTGGGGGCCCCCCCGGCCGGCCCCCCATCTGCTCTGCCCCAGACTCCCCCATCCAACCCCTGCTGAAACTGACAAGCGGCTGACTCCAGGAAGCCCGAGGCAGAGCAGCTCTGCCCCGGCTTCCTGGAATCAGCCCCTGGTCAGTTTCAGCAGCGGTTGACTTGGGGACACCTGGGGCAGAGCAGCAGGGGTGCTGCCGGGTTGGTCCAGTAGCGCAGAGGAGCGGGTCTACACTAGCCCCACTAAATCAAACACTAACAGAGCGACTTCCAGAGGGTCAATCTTCTCCGTAATGTAGACAAATCCTTCTAGTGTAGGCTAGCCCGAACGTGGAAATTCTTGAGAAGGATGCACCCATTTTGCTCAGAAAGGTATCAGGGCTGTTAGTGCTTAGGGCTCCTCAGCTGATCAGAATGTGAAATGCTTTAGAAACTAACTTTTAAGGACCAGATTCTGGTGCCCTTACACTGAACAGGATCTCAATTGACCAGTGGGCCCCATGGACTTCCATAGGACTCGTTACAGAACAAGGCATTATTCAATGCAAGTCAAGGCATTAGAATGTGACTTTTTATTATTAAAATCAGGATTTCCAACCTTTTCTCCTACAGACTGTTTTGTTTCACCACCAGCAGCAGGACATAATTACTGTTTAGGAAGCACCATCCTGGGAAGGAGCACTCACCCCAATGAGCAAAAGTGGCAAAGTCCAGTCCCCCCTCAATCATCTACTGCAGAGCTCTTCCTGAGCTTTTCCAAGCTTTCCTTGCATGAAAGCCTGTGCTTTCCCAGGATGTGCACTGTCCAGTGTGTGTTTATTCATCTTTGTTTATTTTATTAATGCTGAACCATAGATTTCCATCCCTCTCACCTCCCTCCCCTTTAACATTTAGAAGACAATAAAGTTCTATTTGGAAAACATTCTGAAGCTGGAGATCACAACCAAGTGGAAGGAGGAAAGTCAGCCAGAAAACTCACAAACCCAGTACCACTCATCGTTGTCCTTCGATATTCAAGAGGTATTTGATTGGCTTTTATAAAGTACATTGTTAAATATTACATTCTGGTACGTAGGTGCTGCCTCCTGTGATAATTTATGTTAGTCACACACTCACCGAATACATGGGGGGGGGCACACCGTTTATTACGCCTTTTAGTTCTACCACTCGCCTTTTAGCTGCAAATTAAACCTGCTGTCAATTGTGTCACAGACATAATAGGCAACTGATTTTTAAAAGTCTTTAAGTCTCTTTGATTAGAATTTTTTTTAATGCTTTGTTAGAAAAACCTCTTCGTTGAAAGAGCTACTTTGTCCCAGGGCTGCTGCAACCTGAGAAATGCTGCTGGTAGAGCGACAGCCACTTCAATTTAAGCAGTATGAAAAAACAAAAGCTCCTACTAGCTTGTGAGGGGCTGCAGAATAATAAAGCCAGGAGGGTTTTGGATTCATTTTCATGACTTTCAAAGGGTTGAATCATTTCAGGGGGGAGGCAGTGGAAAGATTTCTATTCTCCTGCCATGACTCATTTTCCATAGACGAATATCGCACATTTCCTATAACCAGAAAGGCCAATTTGAACTGGATTAGCAGATTTGGGTAGGATGTTAGGGAAGGCATTTGAGCAAGACAGTATCTTGTCTAACTTTTGAGACATAGCTTGGAAGTTGTGTGACTTGGAATTAGGAGGGAGCAGAGACAGATTTACAATAGTCAGTACAGGAAGCGAGTCACGTCCAAATAAGGATTCTGGAGTTAAAGGCATGGACATGGCTGGCTGATGAAGCTTCCATTTGGGGAGGCAGTAGCTTCCCAGCCTAGGCCCCGCCTTCTTCCCAGCCCAGGCCGCACCCCTTTCCCACTGTCTCCTTCCTCTCTTTCCTGTGCATCCTGTATCCCTGCTCACTGCAAGCTTGTCCCTTTCCAGCAAAATTCCTGAATTCAAGCAAATTATTTTTGAAAACATCCTGCATTTTCCTGCAATTTCTTTCTCAACAGAACCAAGAAGGTAATATCCCCAGGGGTGAAGGAACCAAATCCCCACCAGGGAAACATAATCCTCCAACCACTGAAAAGAATTGAGACCTATCCTACCAATTACCTTCTCTCTTCCTTGCCACCATGTCCCTCCTTCCTCTGCCCCCCATTTCTTCCCTCCACATCCTTCTCTCCCCAGACTCCCACTGATCAAGATCACTGCCCTCCCCAACCAAGAGCTCTCCCTGCCCTGACCATCACAGAATTTGAACAGGCTAAAAAAACTCAAATTGCCCTGTCTCAGGCCACTGCTTACCTGTGGGAAAGCTCTGAAGGGCTCCTGTGGCCCAGGGAGATCCATACCTCCTGGCCCTTTATTGTTCTGCCCAGTTCCACTTAGCAAGCCAGCACAGGGTACGTGCTGCCACAAACTCTGCAGCACACACACTTACTGCAAAAGCAGCATACGGCTAGCTGGCATACGTGCATTTTTTACTAGCCTTTCGAAAAGTGATGATGGGGGAAGCCAGGTGGAGCCCTGCTCTCACTACCACTGCCTCTTCTAGCAAATTGCTCCAGCATCACACAAGGGGAGGATTAGTCCTCCCATAAAGTCCCCAGTTGAAATTCTCCTGTAATCCAGGAGCAGTGGCTACTGCATGAATAATGCAGCAAGATTCTTAAATTGTAAAAAACACTTTGCAAAACTGTACTTCTCAGCACTTTCCTCCCGCAAGATTCTTAAATTGTAAAAAACACTTTGCCAAACTGTACTTCTCAGCACTTTCCTCCTCATGACATCAAAACACCCAACGAAAACCAAGGAATTTACACAAACTCCTGAGAGGCAGACAAGTATTACCATCTTCATCCCGTTTTTTTTTTAAATGGAGAAACTGAGGCACAGGGTAATTAAGTTCCTTATCCACTATTGGTTTGGTTTTTCTTAAATCAGTGGAAAAACTCCCCATGAGACCAAGCCTTAAATGATGGTCCCGTATGGTCCCCTGGAAGTCTATGACAGGAAGGCCATGGAGAAAACCCCTTATCTTCACATTTCTAGCAGAGGGGAGCACAGGCCACTGGCTGCATGGAGGTGGTGAGATCACCCTGAAATCCCAGCTTCCCCCAGCACAGGAACTCCACAGTGAGGCTGCACCTGACCCTAACATAGTGTAAGTAAGGGCTGGCCCTGCCTCTCTGTGCCAGGTGTACCAGGTGTGGCTGGGCAGGGTCAGCCCAGCATGAGCCAGATGTGGAGGGGGTTATTGTGAGGGGAATCTGGGTGTGAGCAGCTTAGTGGGAGATCTGGATGCACAGGGACTCAGTGAGGGTTTCTGGTGATGGGGCAATGGGTTGCTATTTGAGCTCAGTGGAGGAGTCGAGAGGAGATGGGGTTTGGTGTGGGGTCCAGGTGCTGAGGAAGTGGGAGCTCATAAGATAGGGGATCCAGGTGCAACTTGCTGGGGAGCTTGTTGGATGAGTCCAGGTTTAGGGGAGCAGGGCTTGTCAGAGTGAGGGTTAGATGGATCTGCTTAACCAGGGAGCCCCAGCTAGTGCTAAGGAGACACTGCATGCTGGACTCCTGCTCCCCCCCACTTCTTCATCCCCTTTTCTTCTCTATCGCCCTCTTCTCATTACCTCACTCCCCCTTCCTTTCCCACAGCCTCTTCCCCCCACTTGTCTCATTCCCACCCCTCACACCCAACTCCACTGCAAGGCACTGTGGGGAGAGGATAACAGGGGAAGGAGAGGGAATCGGCAGCTATCTCTGCAGGGCTTATTGGCCTAGGCAACCCC